ATTTTTTTGTACATGAAAGAGAATTTTATTTTTTCAATTATATAATAATAAAAACATCTTCAGTTTCCGAAATTTACTTAAGTATTAAATCTCCGGAGAACCAAAATTCAATTACGACTCGTAATACGATTATTTAGGCTACTTTAAGGCTATTTATTATTTCTTCATATGATCATTCATCTTCAACTGTTGAGAAAGCAGGAGGAAACACAAAACCCCTGACCTCACTTAAATTATATGTTTCGACAAAATCAAGTACTGGCCTAAAACTTTATAAAAATTTACTCACAAAAAATGTTCCCTAAAGGTATGCTACAAAACACAATAAACGAAATAATTTCTGCGGAACAATACATTTTCTTTTTAACTTTAGGAAGCTGTTAGGTTAATTTAAAACTTAAAATTTAAAATAAACTATTCGGCTTCTAAATTTTTTTCGAAATTATATTTATTATTCAATAAATTATTTATTTTAACCCACTTATGTTAATATATTACCATTAGCTGCAAGAGCAGGTGTGATGAGGAGTAGGTAGGGACAACGGCTCATTTTCTGTGCTAATGCCCAGCTTTGACATGCAGAAGGTGGAGGTTCCTTGGATCGGATTTTCTTTTGCGAGTAACAGATTTGGCGAATGTAAAATTCGGGTACCTAAACCAGTTTATAGACTCGGACTGGTTCATACGTGAGTGTGGAGATATTGGGATTCAGCGGTATCACAACGGGTCTACATGGCTTAAGTGTATCTGCCCATAGTCGCATCAACCTAAACCTAACCTAAACCTATGCAATACGCTAATCTTTGTTTTTCTAATACGATAATCCTGAAAGTATGCAATTTATTTGCATAAAATATTTTTCATATATATCTGAGTATAATTTAAATAGATTATTTTTATCTTCATTAAGGGAAACATGGTAAGTTCAAATCATTGTTTCAGCCCGAATTTATTTCTAAATGTTCTTATAACCAAATTATATCTGGCAATTTTGTATACATAGAATATAATTCCGTATAATATACAGACGCAAATAAAATTAAATTGAAATGTACATAAAAATTAATTATGTTTTGCGAAACTGGCAATCATCTCATTTTCAAAACTAAATTACATTTCGTTTATATATAAATACAAACATAAATCTCATTTATTGCTTAAAATCAACAATATATAGATAATAACTGAATATACATACATATGTATGTATTTAATACAACTTATTTGAAATAGATCGAATACATACAATGAGAATTAAATAATTATTTTACTTAAGAGATAAAACATATTCCTATATGTAAATGTGTACATATGTATGTGTGTATGTACAATATAAAAATGACTAACTGTATGTCAAGAGCTATAGAATGACGATGGTGCGGTGCCAATACTGTGATTTTATTTTCTTTCACCTTTCTTTTTTTTTCATTTTCTCCTCTTTTTTATTTTTTTCTATAAAGAATATTGTTGAAAGAGGTTTTTGGGGGAAAAAACGTACATACATATTTATTATAAAATTTAAAATTCAAAGAAGTAATAATAAAAAAAATTTACTTTGAAAATTATAAAACTAAAGTAGTTCCTTGGCGTGTGCTGTTCTATATTAAGTACATGTGTCGACACCCGACTTTTTTCTTTTCTTTCATATTAACATTGAAGTTCTTATATTTGTAGTACACACACAGACATTACACATAGTATATACGATTACATACTATTTCAAAGATAAATGAAGAAGAGATCCAAGAATGGAAAAATGCGAAAGGTAAAAAAAAGAAGCAAAAAAGAAGTGAGAAAATTGCAAAAAAGATAAAAAAATATTTAGTTTTTTTTTTTTGCACCATGTTTGCAATTTCTTATTTCTTTTAATTTTTTGTATCAACATACATACACATGCACAAATGTTTGTGTTTATTTTAGAACAAGGAAGAAGTCAAATAATGAATTCACAATGAAAAATTACAACGTTTAAAAAAAAGTCATGCGAAAATTATAGAAAATTATAGAAAATAAAAAAAAAACTGTGTTACACTTTTGTTGCTTTTTTTGTCTCTTTTCATTTTTTTTTTGTCGTTTTGAATTATTTTAATTCCAGTATGGTGTATTTGTTATACAATATTATTTTAAAGCACTTAGTTTAATGTTTAAATTCTCTGTTACAGAAAAAATTCTTAAATTGAATTGTAAAGCAAAATTCAATGGTTTGGTTTCCAGATTTCATGATTACATTTATTCGGCACTATGAATATTTGGAATGTAATTCAAATTACTTCATTTTATGTTCGTTTACATTTCGTATAACAGAAATTTCAAACTGTGTAGAATTCCTGCAAATTTTAAAGTACGGCCACAGTGTTTAATATACGTGAAGAAAAACCAGTTAATTTTTTTTAAATAATAAGCGTAAAATATATATTTTACAGGCCCCTAAACAGAATATAATGTAAAACGGAAACAGACCATCTTAATGGTGGTGTTAATATTTTTAAATTTTTAAAAAATTCAATAAGATTTAATAATTTTCAATCAAAATCTGCAGTAACATTTAAATTAAGGCGATAATGATATGAGGCTCTCTCCATCCAATAACTAAGAACTATGTAATAATTCTTTAAATTACAAATTAAATACAAGTTATAGAAGCCAATAAAATAAATCTATATAGTTGTCCATTCGTAATTTGAAGGGATAAATTCATTTCTATAGAAAATTTCTTTCAACAATTAAATGAGCAAAAATATATTTTAATTGAATACAATTATTCTTTTAATTTTTTAATATTCCCACGCCCAGAAAAGATTTTCATACGACATATTATGTACATATTCTGATCTGTAAATATCTTTCATTCGATTGCATTGTGTGTATTGCCTTTTATCTGCAAAAAAAAAAAATCACTGCATTTCTGTGAGCACTTCTAATATGTTTGTGTTTACGATTGTTCTTTTACATTATTTCATGGTATTTGTTTATTTTAGTTTTCTTATATTAAATATAACAGTTTCATTTATTTTCTCAATTAATGTTATACATTTTTGTATACTAGTAGGGATTTAGAGAATTGAATGTTAAATTAGTATATAAATTTGAGTTCATTGAAGTTTAGCGAACCATAATAAAAAGTAATAAGCGATAAAATAATAAAAGAAGAAGTAAAGAAAAAAATTGTATAAAATGAGAGAATAAAAATTCCAACAATAAAATCAGCTGAGAATTTTGTTTTTATTGTTTTTATTTGTAAATGTAGTAAACTGTTCACATAAATTTTGGAATCAAAAATAGAGAAATTAAATTTTTTGTTATTCTATTTCATGTTGTTCTAGAAACTGGCCTGGAATTGCACATTTATTCTCTTTATTAGCAGGAGTAAAATATAATAGAAAATAAGCGAATTTAATTTATTAATTTTTAAAATCCTAAAAGCAAAACATTATCGCATTTATCACTGTTATTAGAATTGTATATTATACATATATATATATATATGGGCACTAATAACATATTATTCATGGAATTTTCTACATAATTTTAAAAGAATAAAAAATTGTATAAATTTTTATTTAATTCGACTTTATATTTTAACTATTGCCTTTTTCCATTTTCGTTCTCTATTCTAAATAAATTCCATTTCCATTCTATACTCTTAAAATTTAATACTGCAATTCAATAAAAAATCTGTTACTATATACGCATAACACACTTTTTTTTTAAATAGTACACGGTTCACGGGTAATTGTTATACATACCAAAAAGTTTATGGTTGATAAAATTATACGAAATTATATGCGCAGTGTAATGCATATATACCACACCATGTACAATTTCTTCATCCCTCAACATTAAAATAATTCAAACTATGACATTAAGAGAGCAAAGAAAAGTAGTTTTATAATTTACTCTTTACTTATAGAAAACATATGCAATAATGTTAATTGAAGAAAAGAAACTATTGAATATAAGTAAAAATTTGTATAAAAATTAAAAACTTACTAAATCAAGGAAAAAAATATTGTAATTTTAAAATAAAAATTTGGGTACATTTAATTTAATTTTTTTACTTAATAAAGAACAAAAATAATATAAAAGAATACTAAAATGTGAACTACTGAAATAAAACGGTTAAAATGAGAGAGAGAGAGAGAGAGAGTATAAAACTAACTCGCAAATCATAATAATCCTCCTAAACTTCATGCATTTTGTTTCTTATTGGTAGTTATTGCTGAAATGAAAAACCTCAACATATTTTATGTTTAGAATTTTCATACAGCTTTTTATGTATACCTATATTATATCAAACATACATATGATTTTATTACCACCGTAGTATATTTCCTTACAAAAATGTATACTATAGTACTACATTATCATAAACCACTTAATTTTACTCTTTTTCGTAACAGAGAAAACAGAGAGAGAAAGAGAGTGCTTTTACTTCTGCACAACAACAAAAAAAAATTTCTTTTTTCTTTACTCCAATAATTTTCATGCTGAATTTAACAAATGAATGTACAAAGTTCATTCCGTAATGTTGTTTTTATTTTCTATTACAGACACTGTAAACTGTTGAGTACATATAACTGTTATCTTTTCACCTTAATATGTTATGTACATAATAAAATATTAAAAGTACCTACATTGCATATACATTTTATATTATTTTATTTTCTTCTGCACTCTCTTTCTCTTACATCTCTGTTTAAACTTCAAGTAATGTAATAATTTTTTTTTTGAGTAGTAGGAAAATTCTCTAAATGCGCACCGAAATAATATTAATGTTTGTTTGTATATCATTATATTTGCTGTTAAAGCAGTGCTATACTTCTTGGTTGGATGAGTTTTTTATTTTATTTATTTCTTATGCTTTTCTTTTCGTTTCTCTTTACATTTTTTTTTTTTTTTTTTGTATAAAATTTTTCACTTTATTTTCATATAATTTTTTATGGAATCGATATAAAATCTTTGTTACAATCATATGGAAATTCAGTTGAAAGCTCATTGCCGAATCGAAAAGATTTAAGAAAAGAAAAAATAATATAAAATAAAATATTTTAAAGGAAAATTGTTACAATAGAGAAAATTTTTTTAAATAAAGAATAAAAAATCACAGTTTTATTTTAAACCAGAAGAAAAATAAAATATAAAAAAAAAACATTTCTGTTAATTTAATTTTTAATTAATAAAATTAAAGTTTTGGAAGGAAGAAAGCAAAAAAAAAAACGAATTTTCTAACAAAAGTAATTTTAAAAAAGAAGAAAAAAATAAGTAAAAAAAATAAAAATTTTAACATTTTAAGAACTTTAAGAATTGTGTGTATGTTGCAAAAAAAAAAAAAATTATTTCAAATATTTTAAGAATATTAAAATTCGAAAAAAATCTAAGGATAATGAAAGCAAAGTTTTTGTAATAAAAAGTGCAATTAATTAGTGAGAATAAACTAAAATTAAAAATAAAATTAAAGAAATTGCATATTTTATTAAAAATTAAAATTTAATTTAAAAATTTGCAATCACATTTAAAAAAAAAAAATAAATTTAATTTTCTTTTTTCTCAAAGAAGAAATAAGGACGTTTTTTTTTTTTCATATTCCTAATTTTTGCATATTCTCTATAATATAGAAAAATTTTTCGATTCTTTATTGTTCTCTGGAATAAAACGAAAGGAAAAAAAAAGGAAAAAATGAAAGGATAATAGAGAAAACAAGGATATTAAAAAGCTTTATTTTTCTCATTTTTTTTTTCATTTTTACTTTGCTGTGTGAATGCTGTTTTTGTTTTTATAGTGAATGTTATTGTTATTGTTGATTTTATCCTGTGAAAAAATATTGATCTTTTTCTGCATCAAGTACACATTCATTTATTTTTTCATTGTATACCTACAATTGAAATATAATTTTTATTTACATAAATTTCTACATACCTGGTGGTATATAGAAAATTCTTTTTATGAAAATTTTATATAACAGAATTTTATAGTGTATACTATATGCAATACAATTTAAATAATATTTAGAATTTAAATTTCGTATAAATATAGAAGAAAAAAATATGCTACTCAATTTAATTTAAAACTTTTTTGTTTCAATTTAATTTTCTGTTTTTGAAACAAGCATATATGTATAAACATCCTGAAGGATTTGTATACATTATTTTAAAGTTTTAAATTTATAATTGAATAAGGAATTATGTATTGGTGTATAATATTATATATTATGTATTTTATATAGAATATTTGAAAATTTTAGAATTATATACGATACAAAGACGAGAAAAAGTACGACACAAAACCTTATACCTAACAAGCTTGGATAAAAAATAATATTTTTTTTTAAAACAAAAAAACAAATTGTATGCATATGTGTAGAAGTAAAAAATTTAATTAAGAAAAAAAAAAAAACAAAAAAAATAATAGAGTCTGTGGTGAAGGATGCTTTATTGTAAACTGCATTTAAAGAAGCTTTTATTTTTTTATGTTTATTTTTTTTTTGCTCTACACGAAATCTCGTTATTTGCACATAGTGCGTAGTATATATACTTACATATTCTATAAACGAGATACTTATTTTATGCACTAATTATAAAGGGTATATAAAATATAAATGAATTTTATTTTATAAAGATTTCTTGTAAATTTTTAAAAATATTCTGAAAATTTGCAAAAATAAAATTTTATTTATAATATATAGAATTTTTTTTTCCGAAATTTATTTTTGCATTATATAACATAAAAATTTTAAAATATTTATATTTAATTTTGATTTTTTAATTATTAATATTCAATTAATTGCATTCGTATTGCATATTTGATTTTATTTAAAAAAAAATATTATGGGAATTAATAAAAATTTCATTAATAAAATTAATATTTTTTATATTTAATTATATATTGTAATAATTACTTTAATTTAAGAGCAATAAGTATTTATTAAATTTTTTATTCTGTTTAAAATTATAATTGAAATTTTTAATTGAATTTTCAAATATATTTTAATATGAGCTATTAGAAAAGGATATTTTTTTTTTAAATTTCACTCGGATTTTATTAAATATAATTTATGTATGAACACCTAATAATTCATTATTTCTTACTTATTAAATATTTTACTATGCTAAATACTAGCTTACTAATTGGATTTATAAATAATTGAGAAGAATCGAATTTAATATTCATAATTGTTTTTTTAAGGTCATAAAATTTATATTGAAATTTTACTGATTTTTCTCATTATTAAACGATAAAAATTAAATGCATAAATGCTTAGTTTATGATTTCTTTTATATTTTTTATTTTAAAGATGAAATTTTACGTGATTTGCAATTAAAAATTCAATTAACGTATATTTTCTATATTTTACATAATAAAATTAAATTTTATTACATAGTCTGTGGGTAAAATTAAAATATTGATGACGGGAAAAAAAATTTAATTTTTTTTTGTGCAGCAAAATTTTATGAAAGCAATGAATTTTTTTTTTTTCCTATAATTTCAATTATTTGATATTTTGGATTTTGAGATTATAAATTTTTTCTTTTAAATTAATACGAGTATGGTATTTATTATCTTGAATTATTTTCACTTAATGGCTCATAAATTAATAAAGAAATTGAGAAAATTTGCGAGTTGTTTTTTATATAGTTAATAAATTATGAATTTACACTTGTAAATTACACATGAATTTTAACGTAATTTTAACATAATTTATAGAAAGATGTATGGTATTGCATGTATATGGGAAACAATGAGAGCTGCTTCTTTTCTGAACTTCATGTTATAAGAATCGTAATATGTGATTTTGTTCTATTTTATTATATTAATTTTTTTTATAATCTGAAACGACAATAGTCAATAATTTTTTAAAAAATAATTGCCATTTTCAATTATTTAATATAATACAAAAAAATTTTATATTAAAAATATTCTATAAATTAAAGAAATATTTTCATTTTCACTTATTATTTTAAAATTTTCATTTGCGAATCAAATTATATAACATTGTTAATGAAAATATTTAGAAATTGTTAATGCAATATTTTGATATTTTACTAGATCACAATATTTTTTAATATATTCGGAATAATACTCGTATGTCGTCCTTTTTTAACTCACTTAATTTATATAAAAATGAAAATTCATTTTCTATATTCCATATACAAAAATTTTGATTTTCTAAAAGAAACAAGTAAATAAAATAATATTACTCATATGTCTGTCTAGTCTATTATTAAATATCTGCATAGGAATAAAGAAATTTTGAGACGTCACAAATTGACAACCAAATCAAATTTTCTTTGAATATTTCGATGTTATAAATACCATTCTGATAAGTTGTGGGTATCTACTATTACTAGGTCATATAAAAAAAATTTAATTTTATTTTATTATAGCCAATACTTCTTATTTAAATGAAAAATGTTAAAGGACACAGGTTAAAAAAATGTTAACGTATAATTTACGTTAAGAACAAAATTGTTTTAACTCAAAAATCAATCGATTTCAAGGAAGCTGAAAAAAAAAACGTGGAATAATAAAATGGGTTGAAATATTTTTGAACAATTTTTTTTCTATACAAATAATAGAATTAATAGAAAACTGAAAAAATAGCATATTTTGAGTTAATAGAATTTTTTTTGTATTAAGAGCGGAAAATCAATATGCTATTATTGTTAGTTAAAAATAGTACGTTTAGAGCACATAAATATTTGAGGTATACTAAAATTAATAAATAATTAAAAAAATTACTGTTTTTTTTTTTAAATTTTAAAACACTGACATACATTGTCAAACTGTATGTATGTACATATTTTATCTTTATATATATATCTACATTAAATATTAAAAATCTTATTTATATTTAAATATTCTCTCTTCCTTCCTCTCTCATCCTGTATACCATGACATTACAATACATATACATACATGCATAATTTATAATACGTAAAACTGTATTGATTGTCATCAACTTACCGTTATATAAAAATATTATTTAAGTTTATTATACGACATTAATAATTTTTACGGTATATATATATATATATTAAATGATATTTACGATGTTATATCAAAAAAAAAAATATATTGATTAAAATTACCCTACCTTTATTTTTTTACCTTTCATACTTTTTTTTTTGGAATTTTTTTTTTTAATTTATTTTTTTCTATAGAATTTCTAAAATGTGTGCATTTTGCCTTTGGATATATTTTTTTTTATGTACCTATACCTATATTTACCTTGAGTATAAATGTATACTTGTAAAATGGTAAAAAAAGGATGCTAAAAAATTAAACACAATCCTTTTCACAATCCTTTTACCATTCTTGTTTTTTTTTATTTTCTTTTTAATTTTTAATTTTATACCCTTTCCTTTTTTTCTTATTTATTCACGTGTATAATTATGCTTTAAAATTAAAATGATGCTATGTTTCAGAATAATGAAGCGGGTGGGGAGATGAGATACAGGCAGTTGAGGGTTAACTATATTTAGAGAGTGGCATTGTTTGAATATAAATGTATGTATATAAAATGTCAAACGCACACACATATTATATTTTCATTAAATTCATTTTTTTGAATTAAATAGAGCATTTTATTTAATATTTTTAATTAAAAAAAAAAAAAGGAAAATGGTAGTTAAAAAAATTTATTTTACATTTATTTTTTCAACATTTTTAAATAATTTTAATATTTTAGTTAACAATTTTATTGTATGAAATATGTATATATATATATAAAATGCACATTTTCGGTATACAATTGAATGACAATGTACAATAAATTTTAAGTAATGCCCTAAGAATGCTTTTCCTCTTATTATCTTTTATATTGTAGAACAAAACGTGAGCCGGCATTTTTTACAGTGCAAATTTTACTCTATATATGTTATACGAATATTACGTGCCTATACACGAGTATTATATATAGATAATATTCCTTGCTTTGTTATGTTATGTAAATACTGTTATACAATGATTTGTTTTGGCGCATATATTAAAAAAGCTTTTCGCTTTTTCAAATGGAAATTTTTTTTATTCCTATAATATAATATTGTTATACAATATAATTTTGTGCAGGTACCTTTTTATATATACAATTTTGCATAACTACATTTAATGTATCCTGGATATGTTCCTTAATGTTATATATATATGTGTATGCATAAGCGAACATTATTTTATTTTCAAGAAAAATTTACTAGTTTCCATTAAAATAAAAACTTATTTTATGTATAATAAAATAAAGATAATAATTTAATCCTTTTATTCACATA